TAAAAAGGAAAGAGTATCCGTTTTTTTTTTTAAAAAAAACATTTCAGCAAAATCATGCAATGATAAGTGAATTAAACGTAGACCAGCTGCTTTACTAAACAGTCTTGGGTTAGGAATGAGGCACGGCAAGTCGACATTATTGCATCTTTATTATGGGCGTCAGGGCTAATTGGAAGGGGAGTGGGCTTAACAAACAAAAAAGGAAGGTAAATCCTAATTTTCAATGACTGTATAATGTCTATTTTTGCAAAAAAAAGTGGAGGGGGCTAAGCCCCCCCCCCCCCCGCCCCAAGCCCCCAGATTCCGACGCAGGCCTATGTTTATGCAGTCGTGCTTTTCGGGACTTCGTAATTTTTCCTATTATAAATTGAACATTTACATTTAAAAACTTATAAATATTCACAAAAGCAATAAAAATCTTGTTTCTTTTCAATTAATGTGGGTAAACCCTCATTATTTCCACTGTGGAGGTCGGTTATAAGAGATATGAATCGAAAGAAAAGTTTAAATTTCGATGTGGCCACATCCCTCGAACAAAATAAAAATACGCTCTATTTGTTCATTTTTTAATTTTCTTTTTAATAGTATAAATTTCAATTTGTTCAAAGGGTGTGGCCACAGCAAAAAATTGAACCGAAGACGAAAAAAATGCTAAATTTTTATCAAAAGTGGCAAAGTACACGTGTTTTGACGTTTTCCCTACAAATATGGCGTCATCAAATGAAAATTTTGGCGTCAACTATTCAAGTTTGATATCTAAGGATATTATTTCCATAAACAATTTTCTTCTTCTCCTCACTTTAATTTTCCTAAAATCATTAGGCCGATTTAGCACATTCGTGGATTTAGCTCTTTGCTCAACTAGTAAAATGTTGTTTGAAAGTGCGAATGACACAAAGATTATTATTATACATTTTGCACCGCGCCATGGAGCATAGCCTACTTTGCAAAAACAATATATAGGCATCATCCCCTAACAAAAATCCAGGGTATCAGCACGTGATTCACCTTGAGAAATTAAAAGGGAAAAATCCCGTACGAAATTTATTTATTCGGGGAAGGGAGGGGTTATAGGCATGGTAAGTGTTTTAAACACAAAACTTCATAAAAACAAATAAAAAAAAAACAAAAAAAAAAAAAAAAAAAACAAAAAAAAACAAATGGTGAATTTAATTTTATGCCTCAGAATCGAAAGATCCCGTAGGCGTATTGTTTTTGTGATGTCTGCCAGACTGTCTGTTTGTTTATTTGTCTTATCTGTTGTCAATTTTAACTTATCTCATAACTATTGCTCTGTCAAGGCTAAGGCTTTAAGAGGCTGTCCACCGAAAAACCAGGCAATGGGCGGCACATCGCATGTCATGGATTTTAATTATTTTTTGCATGTAAACTTATTAAAGCAAGTGTTTACACATGACAACATCAAAAAATTTTATAGTGCTCCTGTAGTCCTAGTTTTGGTAAATGCTTTTAAGTGCAAAAAGGTCAACATGAGGGTTAAAAAAATACTACGTTTTTATTTTGTTTTATATGTAACAGATACTCCAGAGGTGGATGTGCCAATGAATATTATTTATAGAATAGACTTTTATCTTTTATTTTATGAATGAATAAGACTCCAATTTATACTTCTTTAGAAAAAATTATCTGGTCCAAATTTGCGTTTAACAAGTAAATGTTTAAATTCAGTATCCAAATTTAATTACATTATAAAACCCAATACAATACAAGACATATTTGTTTACTTATGTTTTTATGAATAAAAAGTACAAACTTTTGGGTCATTCAATAAAATCATTGGGAAAAGGTATTTTGAAAGAAATAAAAGGAGTCAATTTACTTATTTTTTGATAGTTTTCACAAATGAAACCGATCCCGACCGGAATTGTATAAAGAAGAAAATACTAAAATAGTAATGTCAAATTTGGCTCTTTTGTTGTAATATCATTAAGAAATTACTGGATTTATTTTTCTAACATATTATATAGGTTACAGGTGCCTTTAGTTTGATAAATTTATTAATTTTGCATTATTTTTGATCGGGATCGGTTTTATTTCAATCGGGATCGGTTTTTTCCGTAAATTTAGAAAAATGTCCTAAATTTGGCTCTTCATGTTAATTTCTCAGAAAAAAATGCTAGTCTATTATTTCTTTTCAATCAGTTTACTGTTTTTAAATGAATGTAACCATAGATTCAAATGTATATATTATTTAAATTTCCAATGTCTTTTACTTACATGAAGATTACATGTAAAACATCTGATCTAATTGATTTCTTAATACATACTAGTACCTAGTTAGGTATTTTTAAAAAAAATTATTTGTGCATGCATTATGCAACAACCAGAGCGGACAACTTTCTAGCTTCATTATTCATCTCATTTCCAAGTAAAATTTCTTTTTTTTATTTGAATATCTTTATGTGTACAGTCTCGACTTTATCCAAGTTTTTTCTTACCTGTCATCTGTAAAGCCTTTTCCTCTTTTACAAAATTTGATTTTATATTAATAAGAAAATAAGATCTTTCATGTAAATTATAATTATTCAAGAGCCAATAAATTGCAAGCAAGAAGCGCGGAAGGAGGGGGGGGGGGAGGGGGGGTCATGGCACGATTATTTTTAAAAATTGGTTTCATGAACGTGAAAACATTTTAGTATTGGTCAACATAGTCACAGGTTTATACTCCATATTAAATATAAGCGTGTGATTGTTTCAATCGCCGAATTAAAATTAAGAAATAAAATTAAAAAAAAAATGTTTCACTAAACCACCTTCCGTTATAGTGCCAAATTATAGTCGAGAGTTCAGCAGTAATATTTTTATAATTTATTTTTCAGTTTTTTTTTTTCATTTTTAATCGTAATGTAGATCATTTATTTTGATTTGATTGCATAAATAAATGTATTTAATCTAAAACATTCATCATTGATTCCCAATTTTATGAGAAATGTTCTGAGTCATTATAAACACTTCATTAATTATTTTAACGCATATCCTGGTAAATCAATTTTTAAAAAATAGTTCTCGGTCATGTATAAAATTACTTAACAAAACGTCATCTTGCTGAGACGCCGCCCGTGTACCGTGTAAAATACATTTTGATATTAGAATATTATTTAACATTTAGTATAATGCACTCTGAAGAATATTTAACTGAAAAAGAGAATTCATTTTTAAAAATAAATATTTTTCTTTACACTTTACGCAAAGAATTTACAAACTTGTCTGGAAAACTTGTAACTATTTCATTGTGTCGCAATACTATGACGTCACTGATACATCAATGGAAACGTGGATTTAACTTGAAGCTTATAGCCAATTTTAATCTAAATATTATGTTTGGAGGCAAAAATGAATTATATTTTAAAAATAAATTATTTATTTTGTGTTTAATAATTTTCTTAAGTGTATCGATTCTAAATATTTCACTAGGATTCCGATGAAAATGTGTTTAGCAGATTTACCGATGCCACGGGAGATAACTCTTGCTTCGCAAATTTTCATTATTTAAAACGTCTATATATTTTGCTAGAAAACTTCTATTAAAAGTGTTTTTCCCAATGATTCTATTTTTTAAACAAAAAGATGAAATATTTTTAGATTTATTTAAGTGTGAATTATACTCCTGTTAATATTTTTTTGGAAATTACAGCTCTTTGTTTCTTACCTACTTTCAATGGTTTATATAGGGGAAGTCAAAAACACAAAACACAAGGATATTTTACTGAATAAGCAATTTTCAAACAAATCTTCAATTACATTATTTCTTTTGGACTGCATTGATATTGTTTTTCATAAAATATCAAATATTCCTCACATTCGATGTGCCGCCTATTAATACAATACTGCCTGGTTTTTCGGTGAACTGCCTCTTAATACTTGACATGTTATTATTATGATTATGACAAGGCCCTTCCTTTTTACAGCAATTTTTGATCATTTGACCTCAACTGCGTCCAGAGTCCGTGTTTTAATCTTTTTAACCGAACAAATCAAGCACGCAAGAGTAGGGCCTGTAGGAGGGGGAGGCGGTCTTTCCTAGGCCCCAAGATCATTAAACAGACTTTATTTTTTTTAATCGCTTGCAATTAAAATGTTCATTTATTATTTGTTTAATCACAAAATGTTTAAATAGTGAGACTTATTTTAATTTTGAACTTTTTGATTACCAGAACATTTAAGTATAATATAAAGATTTTGGCGAACTTTAAGATTTTTCATGATCCCAGTGCCAGGCATTGTTTAAACTATAGAAAATGTTTATTGAAATCCGGTTGACACCCCCCCCCCCCCATCCGACCGTTCTTTACTTTCAAGCTTTTCCATGTTAATAAACTTTTTCCCCCTGACTCTCGTTTTAAAAACGCTTTATTTTCTGAATGAAATATATCTGTTATTTGCTATTTAAATATTTTTTCTATCACAAAAAAATTAAACAAAAGTTAACAATCTTCAAATAAATTTTCAAGTAAATGATAACTTAAGCCTTTTTTTTAATCTTCACAATGAAATATAAGGAGGTTGCTCTAATCTTGGAAAGACCCCACTTGATTTTATTGTCAAACATGAAAGTTCAAGGCCGTATGCATAGTATGAAATGATAAATTTTAGTATTAAAATGATGTCCTTAAAGACATTTTCCTTCTTGAATAAATTTTATACTTTATAATAGTCATGAAAACTCGTCTTTTGCTACTCAAAACACGTTGTTAATATTTTAAATCATACTGTTTTCTGAAATACTAAACAAAGGTCTACAAAATAAAACAGCTGCATTCTCACGAAGTGTTAGTGACATGTTTTTTTTATATACTAAGCATTGGTTTTAAGGTAGCATTAAACAATCGAAAGGAAAAAGAAAACTTTTTTCCAATAAAAAACTGTAATTTTATTCATTCTAATTTTTGTCATAATTTCATTTGAATTTTGATACAATAAAATCAATACATGTAACTTGACTATATGCAGTAGAAAAAGAGGAGATGAAAACTAATCAAGCCATCTAAAATATGTAATCAGTGTTTTTTTTATTTTATTTTTAGATAAGTTCTCCACACTGACTGACGACGAGGTGTCCGTGTTATTTTGTTTTCGGTGTTCTGACTCCGGTCCTCCTGACTTCACTGACACAGAGTGGCTGGACTTGATTAATATGATACGACAGGTAGAATACTTTAAAGAGAATCCTGTAACACGTGAGGAAGCACAGGAGACTCTGGACAGACTGAAGTCACGTGATTACCTCTGGGAAGATCAGGACAAGATCACAGAGGACACAAAGGATGAGACAATATACAGGATAGCATCTTTATCCCGTGATATACCATTCTATTACAGTAGTTATGACACAGCCAGTGTGTACCTGAGATCAGAGAAATACAACAGAGAACCTGGAGAGAAGTGTGTCAGTAGATTCATTGATCCCTTACTGATACTCCGTCTACAGATGAACATACTGACTCACGTCACCATGGAGGACACGAGTATATATGATACGATACAGCAGATATGTAAGTCATTGTGGAGAAATTTGATAGTTTCCGAATATAGATTATGTTTGAAATGATTGTATTTCATTTTGGAGATTAATATATCTCATGACATGATCTCAAGATATAATCTATAGATTCTGATTCTTTTATTTATACTTCACGGGGCTCTCAAATGCTGCAATCTGAAAATTCCTATAAAATAATTGTTTATTTATTGGTTATTTGTATCTAACTCATTCCTAATATTATGTTTATCTACATGTTATTTATATGCTTATTTCATTTTATTCCAGATTTAATATTGCGTTTATACGATATTAATTATGATACGGTATTATTTTTTTCTACAGTGAATGTTACAGGCGATATACTTAAGGAAAGTAAAGATAAGCGGAAAGAGTTTCTAATGAATCTGAGAAGAGAAGGGGAGGCTGTACATTACAGAGGAATATCACAGAACAGTGTACATCACGTGACGTGGCTCTGGAGATACGGAGATTGGGCGAGACCTGACATCGTGAGATCCTGTATAGGTCTACATCCACACTGGGACATTTACATCATCGACAACAAAGCCTACAGGAGTCCTACTGGGAAGAAGAATACGGGGAATTGTATGTATTATATAAGGATCCTTGCTGTAGAAATACTATTTTTTTTTTATTCTATTCTTTTTTATGGTAATCACCCACTTACGCCATGGTTTTTAATACACAATATCAGAAAAAAATGAAAAAGTTCTGAAATTGATTATGCTGCATGGTCGAAATCTGTAAATATTCCAATTTCCCTAAATACATGTATTTGTCAACAATACATTTACAAGTATTTCATACACGAATATTGAGATATCAAACTATAATATTACTGAAGAACAGATCTTATAAAAGACAATGTAATGATATAAAAAAATACCTTGAATGACATAATTTTTATGACTATAAAGTTTGTTTTATTTCTCTGATTACTTTTGCAAAAACTTTTTTTTTTGAAAGATGGCATAGATACAAATATTTAAACCAGCTCTGCAGAGTTTCCTCAGGATAGATCTTTACGAAGGACGACTATTCATATTTTCTTGAAAAAAAGACGTGTTTATTCCTATGTAAAACTTTGATCCTCCATTGTGACCCTACCCTACCCCCGGGGGTCGTAATTTTAACAAACTTATATCTACACTACCTGAGAATGCTTCCAAATAAATATGACGGTGTTTCTTGAGAAGAAAATTCTTAAAGCACGCCACGAAATTTTCACCATTTCCTAATTACAATGTATATTCCTTTGAATGAGGGTGTGGCACTTAATTTGAATAAACTTGAGTTCCATTCACCCAGGGATGCTTTATGGCAACTTAAGTTGGAATCGGTCCAGTGTTTCTTGAGAAGAAGTCGAAAATGTGAAAAATATTGAGAAAAGGTCGAAAATGTGAAAAATATACAAACGGACGGAAAGATAAATGGACAGACAGACAGACAGACTACAAATTGAGATCAGAATAGCTCACTTGATCTTTCAGCTCAGGTGATCTAAAAATAATGTTCATTTTTTTGTACGTTACCTATATAAACCTTTATGGAATCCGCCGCCATTATAGCTCCATTATGGCGAATATGTACATGAGCAGAATAAACAGCATTTTTTTATTAGAATGTTTTGACCTTGACCTCACCAATTTAAAATTCTTCTTAAGCTTAGTTTTTAATAAATAATTAATGACACGATCTTTTTTTTATCAAACCTTATATGCTTTTAAATACTTATAAATATATTAAGCTTTTCGGCTGCAACAGAATTGTTTTAACTTTCATTTGACCTGAACCTAATTATTCAAAAATAACAATTTAGCTCATATTTAAATAGTGTAGAATTATTTTTTCCGCGTGGTATTAATTTACGCTATGTACGCGCTCACAAATTTTCCGCGGAAATTTGTCCCATCGAATTTCATATAAATATACATGTACATGTAAGGCATATAAAGAGAGTCTTAAGATATCCGCGTAATTTTCTACCAGCGGATTGAACAAAAATAGAGATTCCGCGGAAATATGACCCCGTGGAAAAAAGTACATCTACAGTAAGCCATCTGCAATATTTATCCTGGAAAATGTGGTTATATTGACGAGTTGAAAAATTGACGATTTTTTGATTACGAAAATTGACGAGTGTTAATTTTGACGAAATATTTAATCAAGAGTATCAAATCTTTGAATTCACGGGGATACAAAGGCAGCGTCGGAATCACTAAAATTTAATTTTTATACAAACTATTTACTATCTAAATGAATTGCCCTCTGGTAATTTGATTTCATTATAAGCGGTCAATTGCCTGAGGTGACAAACTAGGTCAAGCACGGCGTGATAATTACGCTAAGTTACGCATGCGGTATTTGATACACTGATTTAGATTCAATGATTTTTAAAAATGTGATTTTATATCATTATGTTTTCATAACTAATTACAACAGAAATTAACAGTGACTTTGATCTAGTTATAAAAGGAAAAAAGCCGTGAAAATTAGCGGTAAAGTTGCACAATGGTCAATGTCTGTTGTGACGCTATGTATATGATAAGAAGTTTGACGAGTGTAAATTTTGACGAGAAAAGAAAAATCCTCAATATAGTTAAAATTAGCACATCGTCAAAATTTCCACGTTTACAGTAACTAAATATGCTGCTCAAAAGAACTATTCAAATGCATCAAAACTTTCGGACTTTAACTTTAACTGTGACCTTGAACTTATTTGTCTTTCAATTGAATTTTATTAGTTTTATAGAAACCATTTAAAATATTCTGATTTATAGAAACCATTTAAAATATTCTGATTCAATCTTTAAGGCATTTATACAAGTACAGAATTTGGCGAGATTTATCATTTTCATTCATTGTTTTTTATGTCAAAAGACAATTTTAATTTAAAGAAGTGATTTAAAATATTCTCATCAAAATGCTAACACTTATTCTAACTTTCATGTTGCATTATGGGGCATTCATGTCGCAAGGGCATATTTTTACCTTGTTTTTATTTTCATTACTTGATATCGCGATTACTTAACTTAGCGGAACTCTTTTGCGAAGGAAGTAGGAATCGTCTGTTAGGTGGGGGCAATGTGCTATTCAATACAATGCAAGATCGATCATTGTAGCATTTATAAGGACAAATAAGTAAAAAATCCTGGTGGAATACCTCGCTAAACAATCGCTGAACCAGCCTAATATATTTTTGAGAGGAGTCAATCCTAAATTGTCACATTTTTAACGATATTTTTAACTAAGCGGACCCTTCTTGTTAAATTTTCATTGAAAATCGTCACATTTTTAAGCAAATAAAATATTCTAATCTTTCCTTATTTGACAATCTACTATTTGGAGTTCAATATCTGGCAAAACATCGTGATTTCGCCACTAAATTGTTCGAATCATTCAATTGTCACTACTGTAAACAATGTCATTTGCCCCCAGAAATTTAGACTTTTCTCGACTCCCCCGCAAAAGAGTGGTAGTAAGTTAGAAAACTGCGAGGTACTTATTGGTAGTCGCGATATAATGTATTAGAAAACTCAATGTCAAAAAAACCCACTGTCCTGGCTTCGGGGTCACATAAATTATAATGAAAGTATTATTAATCATACAATTTACAATGTGTGTCACCACGTTATTTTTTTCCGACTTAGTATTAAGCACAGAAAAAAGATAGATGCATACCAGTCTCGATCAAAATCTCACAAAATTATTCAAACTACGCAAGCACAAAGAAAACGTTAATTTCTCCCAATGCTTGGTCAAGCTGTGAGGAAGAGGGGGTGGGTGGTTGGGGGGGGGGGGGGGGGGGGGGTAAGTATGCACATATAAAAATTCTCATTGTAATACGGTATTGTGCAAAATAATGAATGAAATAAAGAAAAGATAATAAAGGAATATTGTAGTGACACATTATTCTACATAACAGGTACATGTATATCTTCATTCATACACTCAGGAATTAATAAAATTGAATCATCGAATTTCAACATTAATATTTACAGTGTTCATGAATATCAGAATAGGAAATATGAATAGATATTATATCAAACCTCTTATCTATTCCCCGGAGGTTATATATTTTACTATTTATAAGTGTAAATTATATGAAAATATTGAAATAAATCTGTGTATAATTCGATATGCAATATTTCTGTTCATATCAATTAATGTACATGTATAAAAATCACAATTTAGCTATCACTTATGATAGCAATCAGTCGTAGATCTATTAATTGGTTCTTAATTACGAAGTCTTGATTTCTTATCTGAGAATTTGGATCGACCTTATACTCACAATGTATAGTGGGTAAAAGTTTAAATCTGTGACCGTTTATTAGTCCCCTACCATGAAACCGGAGGTGACTTTAGGTTTCCTCTGCGTCTGTCCGTCAGTCAGTCCGTCTGTTTGTCCCTGTCTGTGTGTCTTACTTGGTTTTCCCCATTTTTTTCTAAATACTTGCAGATATTTAACTGAATTTTGGTATGTGCATGTTTCTTGATGAGTTACAGATCAAGCTTAAATGTCGTTGTGCTACATTGATTTTTGACATTATGGCATTTTAATTTTTCATAATCGTTTGAGATCGGGTTCGTGTTAAATTGTTATGTTATTGACTCTTAAATCTTAAAAAACGTTGAGAATTGAGTTGAATTTTCTTCTTAACGTGGATTATTTTATTAGTTAAAGGCATTCATAACCTCAAAATCAAGCATTCTTACATTCGACATAACTTTTGCATGTTATAAATGACATCCTAAAGAAAAAAGGAAACCCGGTAGGGGACATGTTTTGTTTATGCAATACTCTCAGAGTGCGTGTTTATTTTATTTATAAGATTAATAATCTTGACTTTTGGACAGTCTGAGAAGATTTATAATTTATTAGAACTGCATCTATTCAAATATACTAGCATGTATAGAACGATAACTAATATTTCAAAATTAAACAGGCTTATTCAGAGAATTTACATCCACTTTTTAAGGAAAAAAAAAACAAGAAAATGTGTTGATCACGGGTGGGGATGGGATCTAGGGGGGGGATACACTAAAAGAAAGGCAGGATACGCCATAGGGAGATATGGTATAACATTTATTCCAACAAAAACTAAAGATCATCAGATATCTCCCGGAAGTGAACGTTTTACACACAGAGAGTGTATCTACGACCTTCACCTTTGACATTTCGACTTCAACATGGATAGGGGTCTTCCCTACGCCATAGCAAGTTGTGGTATAAAATTCAACTGCAAAGGGTTAAAGGCTTCTCGAGATTTCAAGCGGAAAGGAAAGTGTGTTTGTTTTAAAATTGAACAATAGCTTTCTCAAAAATACAAAGAAAATATTTGAATTAAAAATTACTTTAAATCAATTTTATTTCATTCAAGAATTTAAAGTCTCTTAATTGTATTTTTTTCTTTCCTGTTGAAAATCTAGCTAAACTAAGCTATTACAATATATAAAATTCTCTCCAGATACGACTCTTAAGAATTTGTTTAGAATATCAATACGTACTGAATATATACCCTCTTTTAAACAACAGTAAAACGACAACTTGGGAAGGGAGGGGTGGTTTAGATCATTTTATTTCTGCCCAGATATAATAAATACTTTGAAATTCTTTGTTTAATAAAGGTAGGTTTAAATCATATAGGGTTCTGGAATAAAATGTGTTATATATCAGCCACAATTGTGTAAGAAAAAATGCCGATTTTTTCTCAAAAAAGTTTAAAAGTGGACTTTTACGAGAAGCGCTGACTTTTACAATCGACGCTCACTTTTACATTTAAACCTGCCTTATGTAAGGAGGTACGGAATTGGTAAAATTCGTTTATTCTGTGTATATAATTAAATCTAAAATAAAAGTAAGATCGAAGATGAGGTTGATGACCACGCGATGAAAATAAGTATATGGTTGATTGATTTGCATGCATTCGGCACACCTCGGCCGAATTTTGATGTATAGGGTACCGTAGTCAGCCAAGGTGAGCCGAATGTGATTGCATGTTCTTTACGTCCAGTGTAAGAATTTGTTTCCTCAAATAGAGACGTTATCATAAACTGAATAGGATTTCTTTAAGAAAAAAAAAGATTTTACTTTTCCAGTTAACAAAAGACATATTACCTAAAAGTGATTGAAAATTCTATAAAAAAAACTTTACTTTAAAAATTTCAAACTAATATTCTATTATGATAGAAGAAAAAAAAAATTGTAATAAAATGATTTATTAATTTTTTTAATTTCTTCGATAAACGAGGTCTTATACAATATAAAAACTCGTCGTAATTTACATCTACTTTGTTTCCACACACTACTCAGAATCATACACGTTTTGATTTCACATAATTATTGTGATCTCTACCGTACACATGTCTTTCGATATCCGGCTATTCAATTTCCTTATAACAACAACACTGGTGTATCTGTTGTATAGTGAAAGGGGTTATGATTGGATGTCGGTTTGGATAAATTCTGTCACCTAGCAAAACTCATTCATTAGCGAACGGTGGTTCGACTCCACCTATATGTATTTCCGGAAGATGCCCCCCCCCCCCCCCGGCTCTGAAGCCTACAAATTTTCAAAATGAAAAATTACGAGAAATAGGGGGGATTACTCACGGAATAAATATTGTAACTTTATTCACAGAATAAGCTAAGTATTGTTTAATCCGTAAAGTCATGAAACAGTGAATATTCAGTTTTCAATTTTTAAGGGATTGAAATTATAGTATAGGCTAAGGGAAATTATAATATAGACTACTGCTTGTGTGATTATTTAAAACACAAGGGTTGTGCATGCGTAATTAAGAATACCATGTGTACCTGACCATGCGTGATTGTATGCACATTTGTGTTAAAATTATAATAACATACCAAATCCAACCACTTTATTTTTAAACTCCTCAAGTATTGTTCCTGAAGTGAATACATAACGCCAACAGATGAACAGGTGCGGTTCCTGAATTTTTTCCGGGGGGGGGGGGGTGTCAAATCCAGTCAAAAAAATACACAACCCAAAAATCTCTTCTCATAAAAATTTAATGTAGTGAATAATTTGCAGTTTTGTCCCAAACAAAACATCAGAAAAGGAAAATAATACCTGTATGACTACAAACAAGACTATATCAACGTGTTTAAAATAATCAACACATTGGGTGAATTCATGGATTTATTTAGTCAATTGCATTTTCCTCCTACGTATAATCTAGCTAGTCAAAGAAAACTTTAAATGTAAAAATGTATACCGAGCGCTTACATGGTGTACAATATTAACATGTGTTATAGAGAGCAATTTGTGGAGGGTGTAAGGGTTTTAAAAAAGGGTGGTTGCAACTATAACAAAAATTGTCTATAGTTAACCTAAATTTACTAGAAACATCAGAAAATTGTTCGTAGGATATTAAGATAATAAAACATCTCTATTTGAAATTTATAGTAAAAATGCTTTCATTTACTTTAGTTAAAACCTTTTTTTTAAAAAATACAATATAGTTGCAGTATTTTAACTTAACTAAGAATAAACTAATGTTAACTATAGTTAGCTCAAAAACTTTCTTGGACAACGTAATATTTTTTTTAAATGGTCTTATTAATCGTATTTTATTATCAACTGTTTATTTCAATATTTATATTAAAAACGAGCTCCCGTACATTTTACCTGTGTAAAAGTAAGCGTCGATTGTGAAAGTCAGCGCTTCTTGTAAAAGTCCAGTATTAAGATGCACATGTCAAATACGGCAATTGAAAATCCTTATATTTACTTATAAATAACCAATCGCTGAAAATATATAATTACATATTATCTTTTATTATTGAAATGTCACTTATTCTAAAAAAGCTAAATTCTCATTTTAGGTAAATGTGATAACTATTCGCCGAAAATTCGGAATCTATTGTACAGCATGCTGTTAACTGAGAAATATCAGCTGAATGTCAATGAACAATCACACAGAATCATAAGGGACAAACTCAGAGACAGATATTTTCCTGATATTACTGATGACGGCTTGGTAGATCTTCCTGAAGGAATCACAGAAACACGTGACGGTGTGATAACCTTTATATCAGAGGACATCCGACATGACGTCATGTACGCCTTTGTTACGGAGTGTCTGGTGGAGGACAGTGATCTGGAGTTTTTCCTGACCACGGCGTCACGTGACGTGATCTCAGAATACTGCCGGTCCAGGCATTATAAGAGGAGTGAGGGAGAGAGATGTCTATATATACCGGAGGAGCCGGAGAAGATGTACGACCTCTTTATAGACAAACTACAACTGGACATCATCACACACTGTACTGTGTCTGACAGGAGAATTCATGGCAGGATCAGTACACGTTGTGAGTATTATTTATTTAAAATCATTATTTTCTAAATTTATTATCAATGTATTCTTTTTAAAATTTTGTTTTTGTCTCTTTTGCACATTTTGATTAAGATGACGTACATGTTTGTACGCAAATCTTTTACCATGCCTGTGCATAACATTACCAAAACATAATATTCTTTTTAAAAAATGTGTTATACCAATATGCAAAGTTCTTTGATAATGAAAATGCTACTTTTATGAACTCTCTTTATAAATGTATAAATTTTAAAATATACGAGATTTAGCAATTAAAGGGGCAATACGGAAATATGCGGGGTCCCTGAATTGAATTCATTTGTCGCTTATGGTCACATCTTTATTGTGAAATTTTGAATTAAATGATACAATCGATGAGGTTCAAATTCATTTTACTCACGTACTAATGACATTTTTCTCTCTCCTTAATTAAGTGTAAGAACTTAACTTTGAAGTCTTTTGTGTTGGTACAATTGTACACTGACACATTGTGCTGCTCTTCCCGACACATAAAAACATACACTCTTGTCAAATGGTCAGTGCAAGCAAATATCTAGGAGAGTGTCGTGGGGGCCGGACCCCAACCCTTTAAATGTGTTGCTTTATAAAATGAATCCTAAACTAATACAGATTACCTTAGAAACCCCCTTCCCTTCCTCTAGAGAACGTGGACTCGAGTTAAGTTGGTAACAAAGTCATAGACATGAAAGTTTGGATTCAAAGACACCCCTACCCCCACCCCCGAAGTAGGTTTTTTTTACGTTTTAGAAATGAGTTTAAGTTTTTATACATTGTCAAGTGATATCTATGTTGGAATTTATTGGACTGGGGTCCCCCCCCTTTGAAAATACAATTGGACCCGTATCTTCAATGGACAGTTAATAGTTGCTTACGCTGTTCTAGAATTTAAATGTTGTTTCAATAAAATGGTGATTATTAATGTTTAACAAGATGTGTTTGTGAAACACAATGCGCCCGGTGCCATAAAAGTTCGAAAAATCTATTTTTAGCATATAGCTATAGGTTACTGTCAAAGTCAAAGGTCATTGGCCTTAGTGTCTTTCGAAAGAAATTTATTAGTGAAGTACTCGTACATATCAAAAATAAAGTCTTTATCTCATATGGTTAAAAAATTATGGCAAATGTTAAAAAAAAAAAATTTTAGCATGTAGGTCACAGTCAAGGTAACAAGGTCATTGACCTTGATGTCATTTGAAAGAACTTTTTAAGTGAAGTATGCACACCTAGTATGGAGTCTTTATCTCCAATGGTTCAAAAGTCATGGCGTCATTTAGAAAAAAGATATTATTAGCATATGGATCACAGTCAAGATCACAAGGTCATTGACCTTGGTGTCATTTTAAGGAACTTAAAAAGTAGAGTATGCATATAAAATATGATGTCTGTATTTTCTTTGGTTCAAAGTTTTGGCAAAGGTTAAAGTTGACAACAGACAGTCAAACAGCTAAACAGACAAACAGACAGCTAAACAGACAGACAGGGTAAAAACATTATACGTCTATCGCTCTGGGCGCATAAAAATGAAATGTACTGTTAGGGGTTTTATAAATCTTTCTAATGCCTTTGTTTATCAATGAAAACTGCAAATATTGTCCAAAAATTATTTTTCTCTTAAAGCTCTGTGGCAACGCACTTTGAAAAAATTACGCACTTTGAAAAAAATTCTCGAAGTGCGTTAAAATTGGGACAAAATCAACGCACTTTGATTTTTTTCCGAATTTGTTAAATTTGGGACCAACTCAACGCATCTTCTCAATTTTCTCAAAGTGCGTTAAGAGTCTAGATCAATACATTTTACCATTGAGACACTTAAACGCACTTTGAAAATAAAAATCATATTTTAGTCATGGATTGATTGATTATATACGTATTGTTTACCGTCCCTCTTGAGAATTTTAGTCATGGAAAGATTTTATTTGTTATTTATCTTTCAAAAAACTAAGCCTAACCCTAACCTCAAAAATGAATTCATTTACTCCCGTCGAAAAGAGGAGAAGACGGGTATAAGATCCCTCAGTCCAAATCTTTATATTTCCAATACACAGGTGTCGGTAACAAACAGGAGAGGGGAGCAATAAACCTAAAAAGGGTAGGCTGCATTTTCAATTCTTATACCTTGTATATATCTTTCCAAAATAAGTGGGGGCCTTAGCCCCCCAATCTCTCCCTTGGCACTTCGCCCAGTATCGATGTCTATGCTATACTCAAAGTATTCATAAAATTATGTATTTACCTAACTGGTATGACGTTGAAAACTTTCAATAATAAATAAGTTAATTAAAACAGATGAAAACTAGAAAATTTTAATTACAGTAAAAGGTATGAGAGAGAAAGAATTTTCATAGTTTTGAACACTCAAATTTTCCCCTTTTTATTATGATAAATTCTAAGTTGCGTGAAGCTGTCCTGTGATAGTGCCCCCTATACACATTTACATCTACTTATCAAAGACTAGAATTTAAAAAAAAAAGAAGAAACGAATGCATGAACTTTAACAATCGTCACTCTTTTTTCAAGACCCTTTAATTTTCCCTTTTTTATTTTATCAAAACATTGAATATTTAAAACGTCAATATCTCAGGTCCTACAGTGACTTTATCATAAAAAAGTTATCAAACCAGGGTCTGTTATTTATCATACCGATTATTTGAAGGAATATTGTTCAATCTTTACATTTTTTAAAAGTGCGTTTACATGTATATGGTCAATATTAACGCATTTTGAAAAAAAAAAGTATTTTTGTCAAAAGTGCGTTAACTTGCTCCCAAATTTTAACGCACTTTGAAAAAAAATTTAAAGTGCGTAATTTTTCAAAGTGCATTGTAACAATGCTCCGAGATTTGATTATTTTCGCTTTAATGTAGTAGGAGTCCCTAGAGAAGTACTAAAGTGGGATCAGGAGGCCAGAGAGCGGTATGTGGAGTACGCTAAGAGAGGAACTCAGACAGTCCACCACGCCCGGGGGATGATTGTAGGATGTGCTGGGGCGGGCAAAACCACGCTACTTAAACGTCTTCTCGGGTGTAGTGAAGAAGAGATTGGTAATGTAAAATCTACTGAGGGATTGGAAGTGCATGAGGAAATATTTGAATTATGTGATGAAGCAAAATCTTTGAAAGGTAAAATATGATAATTCAAACTTAACTTTGTTAATATATAAAAAGAAGGAAAAACTATTCGTGTATTGAAAATAAAACATGAATTCACAATTGCGATGTTTTATAATATACAATCTTCAGAAAAATACGAATGAATTAGTTTGTACACATGAAAAAGAAAATACTGGGTATGTTTAATAAAAATGAAGTTGTTTTTTTTAGATACGTATATATAGGATTAAAAATGATTGAATCTGAGTTTTCTGAGTTATGCTTTATCTAACTCCGGCAATACTGTTCATATAATTTTTATTTCATCAGCAACAATAAGATACTTCATGATCACATTTTTTTCAGCCAGAGGAAAATATATATACCAAAACAGTGTAGAAAATACCTCTGAAAAATTGGATGCAAAGACCTTGACACTTTTTGACTTTGGGGGACAGTGTGCGTACTACGCCTGTCACCAGATTTACCTGACCAGAAGAGCTTTCTATGTTGTGGTGGTGGACGCCTCTAAACGTCTTGACCAGAAGGTGGATAAGAAAGTGTGCGATCAAGATGGTAGTATGTTCTCCGGATGGACCTATGGAGGTAGAATATTATATCTCTTCCTAAAACTTTTTTGTATAGTTCCTTATAGTCAAGAAATTTTCAACCGTAATTTTATCATTCATAAGGATGCAAACAGTCCTTTTTTCAAGAGGAAGATACGCACAGACAGTCAGTGAGAAAACATAACCTAATTAAGATCTGACGTCTTTGATCTATGCCATCTACATGTAAACTCGGCATTACATATTCATCAGAAGACAATTAAAAAAATAATGCACGCTTGCTCTTTAAAGTTTACTCTGCTTCGTTATTATTTTCTCTGTAGTTTTGGCAACTGTTACTGAAGCAGAATTTTCCCCACCCTTTGTCTAAAATAATCTATATCTGATTTCCTTTTCAAGTTAGATAGTGCTTATGTATTTTTAATGGTATATTTTCGGAAAAATACAAGGACTGATTTTCTTCAAATACCTGCTTTTCTTTCAGAATTCTCTTTTTTTTTTTTTTTTTTTTTTTTTTTTTTTGTTGAATTTAATTCATGCCAAATATCCTTCACTTGTCCAAATACATGTATACGGGTAATAATATATCATACAAGGTAAGTATCTTTTGCAAATTTTACCCAATGGATGGTTATTCTTTATTTTAAAGTACTAAGTAACTCAAGAATAAAGAACGATATGATTCTCATATAAGTGAAATGTTACAAATATTTAAGCTTATTCAATCAGTCAATATCAGTCAATTTAAGTAACCATCGAGAGCTGAGATTGTTACTTAAATGTTTGCCAAATTTTATTCAAAATAAGATATTTTGTCACTTTGGTCTAATCAGCATTCATAATCTTTGGTATGATGCATTTTTTAAACATTCATGAATTGGCTCTTATGCTTGATACTTTATTTAATTGAGATTTTTTCCGCAAAATTATTGATTGATTGCATACTGTTGAATAGCCACTGCTGATAGTTAAGAGTTTTTTTTTTAATCGTCAGTAAAGAATACCATTGGCAATTCAGTCTTAAATATATGATCCTGATATTTTTTATTCAAAACCCATTGTGTAATATAAATCTGCTTGTATACATGTAGCAATAACTTAATTTGACAATTATTGTAAATTTAGACATAAATGAAAGATTTCAGCATAAAGAACAATTTACATGTACATACACACAGAGTACAGTTTACATGTGCATGCGATACTATACTACTATTGATCAATAGTTCAGGTTCTAGGCTGGAGACGTATTTGCTATTTTATATTTTTATGCCCCCGTAAACGAAGTTTCGGGGGTATATAGTTTTTGTCGTGTCCTTCTGTCTGTCTGTCTGTCCGTTTGTCAAAAAAAAACATTTACCTTGTCCATAACTTTTGATTTAGTGGAGCTGTGACTTTCATATTTCACATTTGTATTCCTTGTTACAAGTTCTTTCAAATTTGACAAATTGACCTTAACCTTGGAAATTGACCCACTTTTACACAAAAAAATTCAAATTTTTACTTTGGCCATTACTTTTGAACAGTAGAAACCAGGCGACCGTTTCACTAACAAATCGAAAATCGTAAACGTAAGATAACGTTTACGATTGCTAGAGGTGCACGTAAACGAGAGTTTAACAAAACTTAGCGTAAACGTAGCACTTACGACTGGCGAGTTACGACCAACTTATTGGAACTCCTCTGGCAAAGGAGGTGTATTTGTATTTGTTTGAGAGCGAGAGAAGCGGAGAGAGAATGAAATAAAAATCATTATGAAATAAAAATATATTTCATGATTTGTCTTAGTCCTCAAAATAAAGAAAGAAAGAGAAAAAAGACAATGAGTTAATGGAAAATACATGTAGATCACTAAAAAAATATAATTGCAATTATGCATACAAATTGCCAGTGACTAAAGTTCCTTTCTATAATTATAACTAGGATCAAATTTTAAGTACCAAATATATTTATTCATTCTTGCATTCTATGTATCTTAATTATAAAGCATAGTCTACAATGGTGTAAAATGTTTTATTTTACTTAAATCTTAATTTATTTCCCTCCTTGCTAAAAAAAAATGACGCACTCGCGGTGAAACGAAACATACATAAAAGTTTTTTTTTTCGATTCATGTTTTTGTTAGAAATTACAATTAATTAATATATGTGATAGAATTCGGCATGTTTATTTTAAATATTGCCAAAACTCAAACGCATGCATGTTTTTTTTTCAAATTTTTTTTTAGATATAAATAAGTTAGCAAAGATGTTAGCAAACTATCCATCGAAATATCTCGCTCTAATCTTAAACATCGAGAAACTAATTCAGAAAGAATATTTTACTTTCACAAATTGCAAATTAATCTTATCAATCAAAGTTATTTAATCCAAATTAATTCAAATTGTCTTTAACAAACACTGATCCAAAAACCGACAAAGCGCCCCTTTTATAGTTGTATATATTGGATCTATGCCAGTAGTAATGGTTTCATAAAAGCGGGACTCGAGAGGTAAATTGAAATTGAACAAAATGTAATTTTAACACCCCTCCCCGAAAAAGGAGGGTGTAACTCCCAAGAGTAATCTGAAAAGCAAAGGAACTTATAAACTGTCCAAAATCCTAGAATTTGCCAGTGCCCGAACTTACAGCAACGAAAAGTGGGAACGGGGAGGGCATCTTAAGAAAGATCTACTACATGTCCTGTTTATAGCAAAATTTATGTCAAAGAGTGTACATACCTTCCGTGTTCTACAGGCCTCTGTTTACATTTATATATTAACATTTGCAAATGTTTTCCTTTATATAACACTACTAAAGGCAAGCATTTTTATAACTGTGTAAATACAGGTACGGGGTCAAGAGGTTATAGATGTGCGTTTGGATAAACGTTCGACGTAATTTTTCTGTGACGTCATAAAGGGTCGACGCGCGTTTAGTGGATGACATACTAACTGCAGATCTGAAGCGTTATGGTTTTATATATTTGTCTTTGACCATAACGCTACAGATTCTGTAATGCTAAAAAGGATCAATTTACGGCGCAATATTTTTGGCGCACTTTTGGGGAGAATTTCTCCACTTTCCAGCATCGGCTAATTAACTACCTTTCACTCCCTTATTCTAGACACATTATTTGACTAATCTGTATGTTTTATCTTTCTCCCAATCCTTTATAGTCGTCTCTACAAGTGATAAACTCGCTTGATTAAAATTATTTGTTAGATTGCTGAAATTTTACTTCAAGCGGGTTTATTGCCTATAGAGACCAATATGAATGGATGGGAGGTGGATAAAACATACAAATTGGCTACAGAATGTGTCTAGAATTAGGGATTAAAAGGTAGTTGACTGACCAATGCTAGAAAGTGGAGAAATTCTCCCCAAAAGTGCACAAAAAATATTGTGCCGTAAATTGCACTTTTTTTTGCATTACGGGATCTGTAGCGTTATGGTTAAAGACAAATATATATATAAAACAATAACGCTACAGATCTGCAGCTAGATGACATACATGCCGTTGGGTTTGAAAAATTAACGCATTTCACACGTTAAAAGTAACAATCAGGCAAATATAAAGTATGAATAAGTCACCAATGTAAATATAAGTAATTAGGTATCATTTTTGAGTTTTATTGAGATGTAAAACGAGTTGGCATATGATCAAATCTTCCATAAAGCCCTTCGGGCTTTATGGGATTTGTTCACGTGACCAACCCATTTTACATCTCAATAAAACAAAAAATGATACCTTATTTCTTAAATACAAGTTTATTAGTTTTCATTAGTTAGAAAGGTTTATTTGAATTTATTTTCACTGACCCAGTACCGTCAACGTAACTAAATTTTCATCCTAAAGAAATTTGGTTATTTTCACAAATTCGCGTATAATCATATATGTGCATATTCCAGCGATTATTTATTTATTTAGAAAAGAAAAAAAAAGAAACATTGAGAAATACAGTATTTTTAGTTTAAATTTATTTCTGTTTCATTATTCATTTCTGTAAAGGGGGTGTGCATCTATCTTCTAAGCGATCGTATACATGTGCATAATGCATTCGATCTAATTTAAACTGTATTTTTACTGTTTGATTTTTATGAGAGCAGAATATATTGAGTTTTAAAATTAAATTGAAAATTTAAACTATTTCTTATAAAACTTGTCTAATTGATTTTTTGTAAATTGTAATGTTATCTTTTTTTTTACTTTGACAGTGTGATTTTAAGATCGGACTCGGTCTACGCAAAATACTAGTAATTATTGTTAATAATGCAAGAAAGTGACAAATAACTTAGTTTCTTGCTTATATTTTCGTTTTTTATGACTTTTTAGGTCACCTGAGTCACTCAGGTGACCTATTGCTATCCGTTTTCGTCCGTCGTCGTCCGTCGTGTATCGTGTGTCGTGTGTTAACATTTGAACATTTTCAGCTTCTTCTTGAAACCACTAAACCAATTTCAACCAAATTTGGTATACAACATCTATGGGTGAAGGGAAAGAAAAATTGTGAATTTCATGGTCCCCGCCCCCCTGGGGCCTGAGGGGTGGGGCCAAAACCACTAAAATTAGTGCAATCTTTAAAAATCTTCTTCTTTACTCCTGGACATCAAGCAGGCTAACTAATGACATGAATGTAATAAGCATTGAGTCCTCTACCAAAATTGTGAAATTCATGGCCCCAGGGTCAGGGGTTCTAGTGTTAGGGTGGGGCTAAATAGGTTATATAGTGAAAATGCATTATTTCCCTAAAAATCTTCTTCTCTGCTCCTGGGTATTAAATAAACTAACTAAGTACATAGTTATGATGAGAAAGAATGCCTCTTCCAAAATTGTGAATTTCTTGGCCCCAGGGTCAGGGGTTCTGGTGTTAGGGCGGGGCTCTATTGATTATATAGTGAAAATGCATTGAATCTCTGAAAATCTTCTTCTCTGCTCTAGGGTTTTAAATAAACTAACTAAGTACATAGTTTTGATAAGCAAGAGTGCCTCTTTCAAATTTGTGAATTTCATGGCCCCAGGGGCAGGGGTTCTGGTGTTAGGGCGGGGCTCTATTGATTATATAGTGAAAATGCATTGAATCTCTGAAAATCTTCTTCTCTGCTCTGAGGTATTAAATAAACTAACTAAGTACATAGTTATGATGAGCAAGAGTGCCTCTTTCAAATTTGTGAATTTCATGGCCCCAGGGTCAGGGTTTTGGTGTTAGGACGGGGCTCTATTGGTTATATAGGGAAAATGCATTGAATCTCTGAAAATCTTCTTCTCTGCTCTGGGGTATTAAACAAACTAACTAAGTAAATAGTTATGATGAACAAGAGTGCCTCTTTCAAATTTGTGAATTTCATGGCCCCAGGGTCAGGGGTCCTGGTGTTAGGGCGGGGCTCTATTGATTATATAGTGAAAATGCATTAAATCTCTGAAAATCTTCTTCTCTGCTCCTGGATATTAAATAAACTAACTAAGTACATAGTTATGATGAGCAAGATAGCCTCTGTCAAATTTGTGAATTTCTTGGCCCCAGGGTCAGGGGTTCTAGTGCTAGGGCGGGGCTATATAGATTATTCAGTGAAAATGCATTATTTTTTAAAAAAAATTCTCCTCTGATCCTGAGTATTAAATGAACTAACTAAGTACATAGTTATAATGAGCAAGAGTGCCTCTTCTAAATATATTAATTTCATGGCCCCTATGTCAGGGGTTTCGTTTGCTCCTGGGTATTATGCCAATGATCTAAGTATATATATATATTTATGATGAGGAAAGGTGCATCTAGCAAAATGGTTAATTTCATGCCCCCCTGGGTCAGGGGTATGGGGGGGATGCATAGTCTGAAAATAAATGAATGCTTTGAAATTTACTCATTAGTATTAATCAACCATATTTGATGAAATAACATTTATGATGATAAAATTTTGAAATATGTGGCCCCAGGGTCTATGGTTTCTGTGGGATGGGGTGCACAATTGGTTTAGAATGGAAGTGCATTTTTCTCTTAGTTACTCTGATCTACTTATGGGTATTAAGTGACTATCTAGTAAGCATTGCTAAGTGTATAATTATGATAAGCAGTAGTGCCTCTTTGCAAAATTGTGAATTTCATGGCCTCTGGTTTAAAACACAAACCAAATTCAATTGTTGGAAAGTTGTTACATGAAACTCAGGTGACCTATAAGGCCCGTGGGCCTCTTGTTTTTCATGAAATGACTAGCAGGTAAGTATTTTAAGAGTGTCCCTGACCACTCGTAGAGTTACGATCACGTTTAATCGTAAATCGCAAGTCGTAACTCTTAGTGAAACGCGCTTACGTGCAACGTTCAAGTTTACGTCTACGTTTACGAACTACGACCTGTTAGTGAAACGGTCGCCAGGACATTTATACTTCAGTTATATTCTTTGTGGCAAGATCTTTTACTGGATACCACCAACCTTGACCTTGGACCTTGACCTTGGAGATTTATGTACTAATGGAAAAACTTTAACCTTGACAACAACTTTTGAACGGTAAGGACTAGAGCTTTCATACTTCACATTTATGATTCTTGAAAATAGACGCTTCATTGGATACCAAGAGCTTTGACCTTTTGACCTTGACCTTGGAGTTTGACTTACTTTCAAAAAATAAACCTTGAACATATCTTTTAAAGGGAAGAAGCTAGTGCTTTCATACTTTACATAGTTAATCCTTGTGACAAGACCTTTCATTTGATATCGAGACTTTTGAGTTTTTGACCTTGACCTTAGAGTTTGGCCTTCTTTTAACAAATCTTAGCATTGGCCTTAACTTTTGAACGGTTAGGACTAGATCTTCAATACTTCACATATATATTCTTTGTACATGTAGCAAGAGCGATTATTGGATACCAATAACCTTGACCTTTTGACCTTCACCTTGGAGATTTCCGGACCTATGAAAAAACATTTACCTTGTCAATAACTTTTGAAGAATAAAGGGCTAGGACTTTCATACTTTACATATGTTATTCTTTTGACAAGTGTGTGATCTTTGTGGAAAGGCCTTTCATTGGATACCAACAACCTTGACCTTGTGACCTTGATCTTGAAGATATATGTACTTATGAAAAAACTTGGGAACAAATGATGATAGGGCTTTCATGTTTTACAATTTAATTTCCAGTTAGGAAACCCTTCTTAGGGTACCAATATATTAACTTTGCATCTAAGAAAAGTTTAATCTTCACTATGTTACCATATTGTCTCACAAACACATCTTGTTTGAAATTATTTTGAATTAAAAACTCAATAATGTTATTTGATATCTTGTTTTAATTAAATTTAGAATATTGGAATTTATTTATTTTAGACTACTTTGTATTCTGGTTGAAGTCAATACATACTTACTGTGGCTCAGACAATGAAAACGACCACAAGCCAGTAGTACTTATAGTAGCAACTCATTGGGAAAAAGAAATCAGACAGTTTAAGGTAAGCATACTGAAGAAAACTATTCATATTCATATTAGGAGCTAAGAATTTTATCAACCAAGTCTGATTTAATTATTCAGTGGATGAAAACGTAGCTTTCAACACAGAAATTACAGTACATCCCTTGTTATTTTGCAATTATTATGGTAAACGCTTCAAAATGTACTACTTGAACGGCTTTCATATTCGTAGAAGTTTTCGAAAATTATAAGACAAAATATACCTTACTAGTACTGGGTGGCCGATAACTTTCATCCAAAAAAGACCAGAAATAATCATTCATATACGTATTAGCAATAAGCAGGTTTTATAATTACAGGACAAGAATGAACTTATGGACAGTCTGCGAGATCAACTTCCTAAAGCATCTAATTTATCACAGTACATCAGGGAAGATAGATTACATTGTATACAGCTATCTGTACCTCTAAATGATTTAAAAGGAAGCTTTTACGATATTGCCTGTCATCAGCGATGGAAAGAAAGTATTCCGAAGGAATGGCTTTTCTTTCGAATAGAAATCAACCAGAAGAAATATTCTAACCGAATTATAGAAATATCTGAAATAACAACAAAGGTTCAAAAGACTAATGCTGAAATTCAGAAGAAATCAAAAGAAGAATCAAAAAGAAAGCTAGATATGCTCCGATACTGCCATGATGCCGGGAAAGTTCTGTATTTTGATGAAGATGGTCTGAAGGAGGAAGTGATTATTGATATTCAATGGTTTATTGACGCCTTTAAACATATCATCACAGATAAGCTTCATTTTAAGGGTATACCAGGGAACGAGGAGGACTGGGACGAATATTATGAAAGTGGAAATTTGAAAAAACGTCTTCTTGAAGAAATATGGAAACATAAGGACAAAGAATTATATAAAGCACTAAAGATGAAGGGCTATGAATCAGACGAATTCGTTCATGATAAAAGATGTCTGGGATACCATCAGGAATCACTTCTTAATTTCATGCAGAGGCTTGGTTTACTGGTTGTTGGTGAGGAATCTCACTATGTTCCCTGCATGAACCGGAAAAAGATGGAGTCAGCTGTCCCAGATTTTATTTGTCGATCGGAAAGTAAATCATCTGTTCTCATTTATCGATTTACATTTCTACCCTTCTTCTTCTTCTTCCGTCTTGTTGTCGCTTGTATGCAAGAGGAAAATTGGAAAGTTCTTAAAACGCATGACACACCATGCCTCTACAAAGACGCTGCTTTGTTTTCAGTGGGGGGATACACTGTCGTTTTGTCCGTTACCAAGGAATCTATACAACTTCAAATTTGTCATCCCAAGCGAGGTTGTATTTTGGAAAAGGATAAAACTCAACTGATTCAAGAAAGGGTAGAAAATATATTGTATGATTTTGCAGGAAAATTTCACAGAAAGTTGTTGTTTGCACGAGGGTTTAAATGTCGGGTGGATGATAAAAATTTAATTGCCATGGATATTGAAGGTCATTTCCTTTCAGAGAAAGACATTCAAAAAGATGATGAAGAAATGATTTGTCCTTTGCATTCAGTTATTGATCAGCATTCCATTAATACAAAAGAGTTGACGAGATATTGGAAAATATAGATGGATGTAAAAATAATTACAATAAAAGCAAACCGTCTGCGTCAATACTTGGACGGAATGGGTTTATTGTGTATTGTAAATTTCATGATAACACGTATATCTCTCCTATTCTTTTTAATACCTTTTGGTCAATTTGCTGTCAATTTTTTTATTGAACTATAATATCAGAAATATTTTTTGCAAGATCGTGCAAAATCGTCTGTCATTCAAGAACTTAAAATTTATGAAATTGGGAATCAGAAGATAAAGTGACAGAAGCTAACCGGCAAATTGTTAGATTCAGTGAATTATAGATCCTTATATATATTCCAGAACTAAAATGTTCACTTCTTAATACCTTATACATCGTTTAACTTGTTGTACATATAATGCCTGTTTTATGGTTGTAAACAACATTAAACATAGTCTGGTTGTTAGAGTGCCGTAATTTTATTCCAGAAGACGACCAATAAATGACAAGACGAGGATTGATTGATTGATTGTATACTGTTTAACGTCCCTCTCCAGAATATTTCACTGATATGGAGACGTCACCATTGCCGGTGAAGGGCTGCAAATTTAGGCCTATGCTCGGCACTTACAGCCTTTAAGCAGGGAGGATCTTTATCGTGCCACACGTGCTGTGACACGGGGCCACGGTTAGTACGGTCTCATCCGAAGAACCACACCATTTAGTGGTCGCCTTTACAAGCAAGGGGGTACTGAGGACCTATTCTAACCCGGATCCCCACGGGCGACAAGAAGAAGATATGCAAATCAACGATAAAAACACTATGTTTGTTTAACTTACAACGGAAAAAAAAATTGTTCTAGATTTGTTAAAATATACATAAAATTATACAAGTGGGATCCAAATCAACAGAATTAGGATATCTGTTTTAAATCTTCCAAATCTACGACTAATTAGAAAATAGAAAATATGTAATCTTCCTTAGTCAGTTTAGTAGGAAGTTTAAACAAATCTGGCCTCCAAGATATTGAACTCATTTCTGGGGATTTTTTCCTCACTAATTTGCTTAGGTGAGCGATGTTACCCATGGCTCTCTGGTTGTAAATTGTTAAAACTAAGCTACATTCGGAAATTTATAATTCATAGTAATATTATTACTTATACCCCCTTCTGCAAACACATTTCAGCATCAATAATTTGTAAAAAAAAAAAAAAAAAAAAAAAAAAAAAAAAAAAAAAAAAAATGTTTACGTAATATGAATTAATATAAGACAATAATCTCGTCCTGATAATTCGTTATGTAGACCAAGAAAAAATAAAACAAATGTTGAGTTACCTACTTATGTATAAGTATAACTTAATGTTAAAGCACTTGATGTTAAGAAGATTCAATTTGATAGCTTTTTCTTGTTTATCTTCAGTTGCAGTGCTTCCGAATGTAACTTTTATGATGCATTACCAGTTATAATTTTTGTATAATATGTTGTAGTTATGTGCTATTTTTGAAAACTGTTAGGTGGTATTTCTTAAAGTTATATTCTGAATAAACTATCGCATTACCAAAAAAGGCATTTTATCTTAATTGACTGGAAAGGTCTTCATTTTATACTTCATATAGAGATCGCCTCCTCCCTTTCTTCCCGATTCAACTGCATTGATACTTTACAGGGTTGTATCATATTCAGATAAACATTTTGACTCTTGTTATGAAAAGCAGAGTTTATTCCCTGTCTGTCTCTCTGTCTTTCTGTTTGTCTGCAAAAATTTCTCCTTACTCATATCATTTAATTGGTGCTGGGGCTTTCTTACTTCACATGTGTATTCTTTGTGCAGTCCAGTCCAATACGAAAATTCGTAATATTACAAATTTTCGTAATATAAAAATTATATTACGATTTTTCGTAATGTAGTTAAATTACGAATACGCGTAATATAGTAGATTGTAAGAAACTATATTACGAGTTTTCGTAATCCAAGTCAAATCAAGCATTGCAAGAAATTGAGTGGTGGGTAGCAAAGTATGACGTCAGTAATATATCAGATTCCTCGGCTAATGATAGCATGCGGTCAGATTGGTCAGTTACGCCTATCAGAAAGCATGGAAATTCAAGAAGAAAGTATCGCCATCGATGGGTGAGTGAACAATTTCTTTTATTATTCTTTTATAGGAATTTTCCCACGGATAAGACCAATTTTCCAGTAAATTTCAATATTCCCTCAAGCATGTAGCATTGGTCTATATCACCCGAACTCCCTACTTTTCTTCCGAAGTCTACCCTAAAAATCACACCCTCCTTTCAGAATTCAACTGTTCGTGCAATTCTTATTAAAATACACAGAATTTCAAATTTCAGTAAGCGTCGTACAAGTTATAACCCGTGACATCTCGAAATAAACGCCATACTTTGCTACCCGCCACTCAATTTCTTGCAATGCTTGTATTTGTCTTGGATTACGAAAAATCGTAATATAGTCTCTTACATCTGCTATTTTACGCATATTCGTAATTTAACTACATTACGAAAAATCGTAATATAAGTTTTATATTACGATAACTTGTAATATTACGCTTTCTCATAATCTTACGTTTTTTCGTAAAATTACGAATTTTCGTATTGGACTGGACTGTTGTGACAAGACCCTCCTTTGGGTATAAATAAAATTGACCTTGGATTTTGACCCACTTTTGCAAAACATTACCCAACTTTAACATTGGTCAGTTTTTATTAAGGCATTCATATTTCCTACATCTTTCCAACAGTTCTGAACTATTAATCATTTTTTGTGTGTGTTTGATCTTCTGTTAAAAAGTGATATCCTTTGACGTATCTTTTGAACAGTAGCTGTAATATTAAACATTATTATTATTGTTTTTTTCTTTTTTTCTGCTCACCTGAGCGGAAGGCTCAAGTTAGCTTTTCTGATCACATTTTGTCTGTAGTCCGTCCGTCTGTAAACTTTTCACATTTTCAACTTCTTCTTAAAAACCAGGAGATAATCAAGAAAAGACAAAAATAGGGTGGGATCATTAAAAAATCTTCTTCTCAAGAACAACCGGGCCAGGAAAGCTGAAACTTATGTGGAAACATTCTGGGGTAGTGTGGATTCTAAATTGTAAAAATCATGACCCCCGTGGGTAGGGCGGGGCCACAATAGGAAATTCAATTTTTACATAGAAATATATAGCAAAAAAATCTTTAAAAATCTTCTCAAGAACCACTGGGCCAGAAAAGCTGAAACTTATGTAGAAGCATTCTTTGGTAGTGTAGATTCTAAATTATTAAAATCATGACCCCGGGGGTAAGGCGGGGCTACAATAGGAAATTCAAGTTTTACATAGAAATACTAAGAAAAACATCTTTAAAAATCTTCTTCTCAAGAACCAGTGGGCCAGAAGAGCTGAAATTAATATGGAAGCGTCTTGGGATAGAGAAGAATCTAAATTGTAAAAATCATGATCCCCGGGGGTAGGGCGGGGCACAATAGGAAATCCAAGTTTTACATAGAAATAAACCTGAATAATTTTTAAAACTTTTCTTCTCAAGAACCAGTGGGTGGAGATAGCTGAAACATAGGTAGAATCGTCCTGGGGTAGTGTAGATTCTAAATTATTAAAATCAAGACGGGGGTTAGGGGGCCACAATAGATATAGGAAGAGGGGAAATCTGGTAAAGAACTCGTCAAATGGGCCTCTTGTTATACATGTAATTGGTTCGCAACGCACTAAATTCATGTTCAAATTGAGCTTGTATCCCATAGAGAAAAGAGAAATCCGGTAGGGGACGTGTAATGCTTAATTAATATGCAATGCTCTTAGAATGTTTGTTTCTTATGACATACCTTTTCTCTATATACCTTAAGTTTGACCATTTGACCTTGGATTTTGAACCAAATTAAAAAAAAAACATTGAATGGATGGTGCTTGGACTTTCGCATTTTAGAGATATGTTCACTGAGACAAGTCCTTTCTTTCTGTAAAACATTTTTTTGATATTTTGGCATTGCCCTTTGGAGCTAGTTCCAATTGCATAACTGAAAAAGATAACCTTCGCCAAAAGCTGCCATAAGAGAGTTTCGGTATTTCATAGCTGAAATCTTGTATTCTTTTTCTAAATTATCATTTTCGACCCTGATACGAGGGTTGTTCGAAAATTTCGTGGACTATAGCGCCATAAAATTAAAAGTGCTTAAGGTGGAATGCCACACCAACTTTTTATTTTATAGATCTTGTATTCATCCTTTTTAAACAATAGTTTCAGCATTGAAAGGCCGATATTAGCTCTTAATTGTTTTATAATACTTTTTTTTGTACAAAGAAAATGAAAAAAAATTATTTATATCCAAATATGATGTCTCTGAAGCTAAAAGTTTGCTGTAAATGAATGCATCATATGAATATCTAATAAAATGTGTAAAGAAAGGCTGGTTAGACTTTTTCATTTATTCTATTAGCATCATCTTATTCATTAAAAAAAAAAAACGATGCATCACTAATTATCCATTTTAGCTCACCTGAGCCGAAGGCTCAAGTGAGCTTTTCTGATCAAAATTTGTCCGTTGTCTGTTGTTGTTGTTTTTGTCGTCGTAAACTTTTCAATTTTTCATCTCCTCCTCAAGAACCACTGTGCCAATTTCAACCAAACTTGCTACAAAGTATCCTTAGGTAAAGGGGATACAAGTTGATTAAAATGAAGGGTCACACCCTTTTTCACGGGGAGATAATTATTTATTAGAGAAAAATTAATGGCTTTTTAAAAAATCAAAATCAAAGTTTAACATAGGAATATATATAGGAAAAATCTTTAAAAATCTTCTTCTCAAGAACCACTGGGCCAGGAAAGATGCATCTTCCCAAGTCAAGAGTTTCTGATCCGCTCCGCTCCACATAAACCCTTGACCGAATAGGCTAAGTTTGACGGGGTTAGAAACGCGTTCTCTGAATGGCCTCATGCAAGGTTACAGGAACCAATCAAAATCATTGTTTTATTTAAATTGAAACTACATCGTAAACAGAAAAACACGTTAGTTTTAGTTCCAATGATAACGTATTTTTCATTAGATAGCCCTTTTAAAGGTTTGTCTCAGTTTTCTAGTTGAGTTATATTGAATTTATTACCGACTACAAATATTATCTCGAATTCGCTTTTGAATTCGTTTACTCTGATTGGCTAATAGCAGAGGTCAGGAGAGTTCAAAATATGTAATCTCACTAGATGGCGTGACAGTAAACCCCGTCAAACTTAGCCTATTCGGTCAAGGGTTTATGTGGAGCGGAGCGGATCAGAAACTCTTGACTTGGGAAGATGGGAAAGATGAAACTCAAGTGGACTCATTCTCAGGTAGTGTAAATTCAAGTTTTTTCAAATTATGACCCCCGAGGGTAGGATGGAGCCAAAATGACCAATCAAAGTTTCATGTAGGTATATATAGGAAAAATCATTAAAAATCTTCTCAAGAACCATTGAGACAGGAAAGATGAAACTCATGTGAAATTAACCTCAGGTAGTGTAGATTCAACTTAGTTCAAATCATGACCCCCGGGGATAGGGTGGGGTCTAAATGGCCGACCAAAGTTTTACATAGGAATATACAGTCATGCATGTATAGGGAAA